TACCGCTTGAGCCACATCCCCAGCCCCAGGAAAATCCAATTTCTTTAAAATCTAAAACTTTTTGAGTGCCAACATGACACCATAAGTAGAAAAATTTTCACACCTGATGTCATGTAGTAGGTCACAGTAAAAATGCAGGTACACTAAAAATATTATGTAAAATTTTCTTCTAGTTATGTATAGAAGGTATGTATAAAACATATGTGATTTTGTGTTTAGATTTGAGTCCCATTGCAAGATGTCTCATTATGTATAAGCAAATATTCCAAACAAACAAAAAACCCTAAAGTACTTCTGGTCTCAAGCATTGTAGATAAGGGATACTCAACTTATAAAGATTTGTTCATGGACCAAAAGACTACCAATATAAAACAAAAATAACATGAAGTTTGGGTATTGCTTTATAAATATTTGTGATATTATGTTAAAATATTTTGAGAGAATTTAAATATTGAAATATTTTGATAGCTAGTTAGTCAAATCAGGAAGAACTTGAAAAGTTTATCATCCAATTCCTAGATTTTAAAGTGTTACTGATTTTTAAAAAAATTATCTTTATTGTTCATCATACTAATATTCACATACTATTTGTTAGTATGTAATTTTATAACCTACAAAGTATATTTACATATACTTTTATTAACTTCCTAATATACTGTGGGTAGTTGGACAAAATACTCACATTTGAATTGACTACTTTGTTTCAGAAACCACATTATCTATATTCTTTCTATGTTGTCATAATGCCTCTTAACATAACTTGAAAATTGAAATCAAATAATGTAAAGAATAAGTTTTGGAGTTAGTCTGAATTGTGTTCAAATGTTAGCTCTACTCACAAAAATTATTTAATTTCTTTGACCTTCAACTTTCCTATCTATAGTAGGTAGATAACACTACTCATTTCTAAAGTATTATTGTGAGAATTAGAAATAATGTATAAGAAATTCAGTGTAGTTCCTGACATTTACCAGGTGTTCAATAAATGGAAGCTAAATTAGAAAAATTATTTACATTAGCTTTATGTCCTTTAAGTATGTGTGTGCTGCAAGGATATATGATTATTTTGAAGAAAGGAGTAGCCTTAAAATGATATACACATTGATATATACAAGCCATAACTGAAGAAGCTCAGTTTGAAAAAGTGTTATTTGAAGTCCATTGGCACAAAGCCATTGGCAGACAAAAATATTTATATCTATCTCATTATATTTTTCCATGTTATCTGTAATCTTGTGTATGAACTAGTAACTTTGTAAACTATGAATCTATAATGAAATATTAGGTATTATTGTTATTTTCCTTATAATACATTATAGTTACTAGGTCATGAAAAGATTAAAATAAGGCTTCATTTATTAATCAATTTTGTGGTTTAAGATGTTTCTACATAAAGTTTTCTCATTCTGGCAAATTCATTTTCCTTTTAAGTGTTAACTTAACCAATTTAATTGAAATGTAATGGAGATCTTCTGTACAGATATATTTAGTGTTTTCATAGTAACTTGGGGATCATTTATAAACATCCTTTTAATGCTAGACAGTAGTAAAGTCATGCCTTTAGGGTTTTTAAAAATTGTTTTTATCTATATTGGGGACTACTATGTTGTTTGAGTTCTTATGTCTGCCTCTGGCCTTTTATTCCTCAATCCTTGATCTATTTCTGTATTAGGAGGATCTTGTGTAATAAATGTGTTGTTTGCTGTATTATAAGACATAGTGTAAGATACATACTTTAATTTCAAATATATTGTCTTTATTTGTAATCTAAGCCCTGCTAATTAATTTTAAAAAACAAAATTGGGGTATAGACATGAAAAATAAACATTACATGTCAACTATACTATTTTTGAAGACTTGTTCTTAAGAGCATGAGATATATAAGTTTGGATTGACTTGCTTTCTGGAAGACAGTTGTTCAATAATATTTTCCAAATTCTTTTAGAACCGTTCTGATTTTCAGTGCCAACATCGATGGCAGAAAGTTTTAAATCCAGAATTGATAAAGGGTCCTTGGACTAAAGAAGAAGATCAGAGGGTAATGTGTTCATGTTTTTTTATGCTAACCTTATAGATGCACTAGCTTTTTTCCCTCACTAATTGGTAGTTTTAACACATAAAGTATGTATGTAATTCACTTGATTTTGTGCTCTAGAGGCTGTTTGCTAAGAATTGAAGGTCAAGTACTTAAAATGTAGTTTTTTTTTTTTTCTGAATTGGGTCAAACCAAATTAATATATATAGCCCTTTGTTTCTGAGAGTTTGAAGAAGGAAAAATGCTTACTATGTGTTTAATTATCTTGTTTAAAGCTTGGTTTAGCAATATTTAGGATGTACTTTCCTGTCAAAATTGATTTACATATTAAAAATATTTTAATTTTATTTTTACATTTAACTTGAATTGTAAGGAAATCATTCTTATTTCTTCCTTTTGACCTTTAATGAACCCCAAAATTAGATATCAGGGCATGATATTGCCAAAGTATTTATAATTTAAAAACAAAGATCATTTGTTGTGCAATAAAAGTTGGAGAAGAATAGAAGAATTTTTGACCCTGACTAGGAATTGTTTTATGATCTTTAAGTCATGTAAGTTGCTAATATAGTTGGGGAGTTAGTATTCTTACTACTACGTACAACAGTTTAAAAGTTACTTTACTAGAATCTGATTTCCTTGATAACTGATGGCAAGTTTTAAAATGTGTGACCTTGTTTAAAAATACATTTAATAAATTCAGAATTTTATTTTTTAAAATATAGTAAATAGACACATATAGTGAAAATTTTATTATATATTAAATTTAAATATATAAACTGTTAATGATGTGATATTTGACAGTGAGGCAAAGTGGTGATGAGGTAAAGTAGTCTAGGAATAACTATTTTTACAATTTTTAGGTAAAATAAAAACAAACTTAAAATGTAGGGAAAATAATGCATAACCTGTATTTTTTTCAGTTTGAGAAAGGAAATGTGAAAAGCCAATAACTATAGTTACTTCCTGCTTCCAAATTGGTTTGTTGGACTTTCTGTTTGATTTTTTTTTTAAGATATAAGAGTAGAAAATATACATGTCTCAATGTCTTTACTATTATTTCATACTAAGTTTGTATAGAAGCAGTTTTACTTATGAGTCACTTTAATTAGACCCTTGGATTTTAGATAAGTTTGTAATCTGTTTAAACTTGTCAAATACTGAAGAATTTTTATTAATGAATTTATTTTTATAAATTGTTGTTGTAGCTTAAATTGTATGCATTTATTAAGATGTTATTCTTGGGCTGGGATTGTAGCTCAGTGGTAGAGCACTTGCCTAGCATGTGTGAGGACTGGGTTTGATTCTCAGCACCACGTATAAATAAATAAAATAAAGGTCCATTGACAATTAGAAAAAAAGAATAAGAAATTCTTCTTTAAAAAATGCTATTCTTTAAAAGAGAATAAAATCATGGCAGTAAATGGATGGAATTGGAGAATATAATGCTAAGCGAAGCAAGCCAATCCCAAAAGACCAAAGGCCAAATTCTTTCTTTGATATGAGATGTTGACTTATAATGGCGATGGGAGGAATGGAGGAACTTTAGATAGGACAAAGGGGAGGGTGGGGAAGAGAGGGGGCAAAGGGATAGGAATGATGGTGGAATAGACATCATTGCCCTAAGTACATATATGAAGACATGAATGGTGTGAAAATACTTTGTGTACAATCAGTGACTTGAAAAATTGTGCTCTATATGTGTAAAATGAAGTGAATTGCATTCTGCCATCATGAATAACAAATTTTTAGAATAAATAATTTTAAAAGATACTATTCATAATGTCTTTTTAAATTTTTTTATTTTAATTTTTTTTGTGGTGCTGGTGATTGAACCTAGGACTTCATGCATGCTAGGCAAAGTGCCTTACTACTAAGATACCCCATCCCCAACTGTCTTGAGTTATGTTTTAAAATGCCTTTTTTTAAACTTTGCTTCTTAGGTTATTGAACTGGTTCAGAAATATGGACCAAAAAGGTGGTCTTTAATTGCAAAACATTTAAAAGGAAGAATAGGCAAACAGTGTAGAGAAAGATGGCATAATCATCTGAATCCTGAGGTAAAGAAGTCTTCCTGGACAGAAGAAGAAGACAGGATTATCTACGAAGCGCATAAGCGGTTGGGAAATCGTTGGGCAGAAATTGCCAAACTGCTTCCTGGAAGGTGCTTATATAAATGTATATACATGTTTCTGTACTTAAACATGACCTTTATTACTTTACTATTAAATATATTTGCAAGAACCCCATGGCTTTTATTTATAATTAAAATTAGACTACATAATACAAGCATCCATTTGAGATCATTTGTAATAAATTCTGGAGTAAGGAATATTATTATTTTTATAATGAAAATTTATAGCAATAATTTCTACAATAAAATGATAGACATTTAGATTATGTAAACATTTAAGACATTCAAAAAGTCATGTTTACACATCAAGGCAGGCAGATCCTCCTTATACAAACTGTGTTGAAATGGAATCTGAATCAGAGATTTCTTTCATATTGGATACTATGTACAAAACCAAATAATGAATTACAAATACACTGGCTGAAATAAACTGTTGTGAAAATGTTAGGAAAAATCAGTTTTTAATTAGTTGTGGTATAATTTCAACTGTGGAAATAAGTGTATGTATAAAATGTAAAATATAGCAAATAGAGCAAATGTGTTCCCTCAGAGACAGTGTGATGTTTTACATTCACTCCACATTGTACTGGTAGGGATGTTTTTTGTGTAGTCTTTAGTATGGCAGACCAGCAATCTTGGGGCATTTTATACCTCACTCAAAAGATATGCATTTGTTTTTTATTGCTGTAATCTCTAGCTATATAGTACTTTTAGTGTGTAAAGTGCTTTTACATATATTCTTGATTAATCTTTACGTGCTTGGGAATTATGCAAAGCAAACATTACTGTCTTTGTTTTGTAGATAAGGAAATCAAGACAGTGTTAAATTTTTTATCCAGGTTACTAACCCTGGACTAGGAACTTCTGATGTTTTCAGTCTCTTATACATCTATACTTTCTGTAGAACCTAGCTTAGTACCTTCATATGAAGTAGTTTTTCAGTAAATACATTTTTTATGCAGGATGGAATTTATACTACAAATAGCTACAGGTTGAACACTTGCATTTTTATAAAGGGAGCCAGTGAGCTCTTTCTATAAATATTTTGTTCTAAGAAGTGAAAAAAGAATACTAGGATTCTGTAATTTGTGGTTTACTTTTCATGATCATGTTTATTCCTAGTCTTTGCACTCACTATACTCTTTATCTGGAATGCTGTTTTTTTCTTTTTTCATATGGTTGGTTATTTTCATCATTCAGATCTTAGTTTCACTGTTACCTCATACAGGGCTTCTTGGACCACCTCGTCAAAATTACCCATTATCCACTTTTCTCATCCACTTTAATTATCTATATTGCATTGGTATTTTTTTAATTTAGTTGTAGATGGACACAATATCTTTATTTATTTTTATGTGGTGCTGAGGATCAAACCCAGTGCCTTACACTCTCAAGGCAATCGCTCCACAACTGAGCTATAGCCCCAGCCCCTGCATTGGTATTTTTCTTATTTTTGGTTTTTCTTTTCTTCCTTCCTTCCCTATGACCACACTTCTAATGAGAACGTAAGTTCAGGAGAGTAGGAACCTTCTTTGTCTTATTCACTGAAGTATTTCTGATGCTTAGAACTGTGCCTGACATATAGACATACCGTTTATCTTTAGAATTTTTAAAGAAGTATCTGATTTCATCAGTTGTAGAAGTTTGTTTTAAGCTTTTTGTGCAAGTTATACAGTATTAAAATTTGTGGAATCCTTTTTTCCTTTTCAAATTAAACACTTTTATTTCTTAGGACTGATAATTCTATCAAAAATCATTGGAATTCTACTATGCGAAGAAAAGTGGAACAGGAGGGCTATTTGCAAGATGGAATAAAATCAGAAAGATCTTCATCAAAACTTCAACACAAACCTTGTGCGACTATGGACCATTTGCAAACCCAGAATCAATTTTACATACCTGTTCAGGCACATATTTTTAATACCTTTATTTTTAAAAAATTTATTTAGTTGATATATGGAAAAGGTGTTTGATTTCTTAATAGGACAAATACAATATATACTAAGGGAGGAGAAAGATATATATATTTCCAAACTAAAAATAAAATGTCATAATTTTGACAAATATAGTGTAGTTTCCACTTAAAAAATATTACGCATAATTGTAGTAGTCTTATAGGTGTGTAGAAAATGGTCTAGGGAAAAAATAGTAAAAAATCATTCAAGCCATCACTTTGGAGGTATAGTAAATAATTTGATGTCTTTAAGCTCTGTTTTCCTCTAATAACCAATGATTTGAGTGATTGTAGTCTTTGTTAGGCAGACTCATTAAAATAGAGATTACCAACTCAAAACAGGGCAAGTTCTGTGTTGTTCCTTGCAGTGCATCCTCCTACCTGCAAGAATTTAGTTTAGGATTCTTCATAAGGTTTGTTTTACCTTTTCCTATCTATCTGTTAATGCCATTTTTTTTTGTGATAAACCTAGGTTCTTTTCATATAAAATATAAAGATTATATCAGAACTTAATAGTATCTACCAAAATATAAAGTAGGTCAAGGTGTTAATCTGTGCTTACTATACCTCAAATTTTATTTTATTGTACATTTTATGGACATTTAAAAAAAGTTTTTTTAGTCGTATATGGACTCAATGCCTTTATTTGTTTTTATGTGGTGCTAGGACTGAACCCAGTGCCTCACACTTGCAAGGCAAGTGCTGTAACATTGAGCTACAAATACAGCCCATGGACATTGTTTTTTAGACATACTGTTAAAAGAACCATTTAAAGTAATGACATTTTTAGTTTACAAATAGGAAAATGTGAAGACAGTATAGTTATCTGCTGATATTGAACCTTAAGGTTTTTATTGTCTGTTTCTTTACATTTTTCTTTAGAGTCTTAAATTTTAGTAGCATAAATTTGAAACTTTCTGTTTCTATCTCAGAAATGTTACCATTTATCTCTTTAACATACATAAAGATAATTTTTAAAAATTATTTGGACCCAGGGGGTATTTAGCAGTCTCAATAAAAATTGGAACTATAAGGACATTTATTTTAAGAATTTTTTCCCTTTTAATAATCTTAGATTCATATATTCATAGTTCAATTAGTTTAAACAATTAAGAGGGTAATTCTAATTTTATTATAAAGTATACTTAGAGAAAAAATGCAGTGGTTTGAAATACTGTCTCAAATTTTGAAATATTTGAGAAAGAGGAATTTCTAATTCATTGGTGTTACCAAGTGATAAGTGATACTAATTGAGTATTGTAAATGTTCTGTTAGTAATGTGTGATTTTTGCAGTAGATGGTGATTTAGGTAGGTCATTATAGAAAGTAGACAATTTCATATTTATATTTGTTTGATTTAAAATATTTTCACCACTGCTCAGGTGCAGCCTCATAATTCTTTTTTTATAACTTTTATTTATTTTCATGTGTACTGAGGATCAAACCCGCAAACACTGTATCACTGAGCCCCTGTCTCCCTTTTTCTTAACTCCAGCTTCCCCTTTTATTTTTTTGAGAAAAAGGAAAATGAAGGATTATTGGTTTGCTAGCAAAGGAGAAAAACAGGGAACTCCCATCCCAAAGACTGTAATTCTGCCCATCAGCAGAAACAAGGGCTTTTAAAGTGGTGACTTAAAGGCTACATTCCACAAGTTCTCCATTTTAGTTGTAATTCAGTTATTAATTTGGGAGCTAGTCCCCCCTGATAAATTCTGGTACCATCCCCAAAATCTGGATTTTTACTTCCTTCCTATGGTTGGTGTGTACTCTGATACAGATAACTGCCTAGGATGGGGAAGAGATTAGGGAGGAGCAGGGAGAGAGAAAGAGAAACATGTTCATTTAAGAAATAAATTGTGTGGCAGAACAGCAAGGGTTATATTCAAAGCATAAAGTGGACCACTGTTACATTTCCTCACTGTCAATTTCTACATTCCATTTCTATGGAAAAATGGGCAACAACATCTCTAAACTGCTTCCTGCTGAGAGGGAGCAAAGTTGGAGGAAGTAATCAAAAAGTCCTTGTTCTTTATCAGGTGGGCCATGGACAGTTAATGGCATTCAGCATCAGAGTAGTCCAGAGGTCCACAGTGGCTGATGGCAGGTGACTGGACAGGGCATACACAGGGCTAGCATCATGCTAAGACAACAAAGGCAGCAAAGCATTATTTTTTGTAAATAATTAGCACACAAAAAAATTAGTATTTCAGACAGTCTCTGAAAACCATAAGGACAGTAATTTATAATCTTATCAGTGAAAAACAAATCAAGTTCATCAATGTAGAAGGGTAGGAATATTTGTAAGTCTATGAAATCAGACTCAAATTAACTCAGGACGTATGCGACTTGTGATCATTATTAGGCACTCTCACACAAGAACCCTTCCTTTATAGCCTCCAGCTTCACTTGTATTATGTTTTAGAAATGAAACAAAATGATGCTCTGAGCATCTATTAAAAGTACATGAGTAATTATTATTTTCCCAAGATAACTAATGTAAAACTAGTCTATTTTCCTTTCTTTCTACTTAGATTGGCATGAAGTGGTATGGGAGGAATTGAGGAGATAAAAGCATTCTTGTGAAAGCTTTATATGGACTAGTCCCTTTCTCTGATAAATAAAAACAATTTTTCCCCATGAAATAGAGCAATACTTCTGTAGCAGATTAAAAAAAATAATTTGTTGTTTAATGTTGATAATAGATGGATTGATTGATAAAACTAGACTAAGTAATTCTCATATTTAATCTAGGAGACAGGGGTTTTCCTAGTGTTATGGCTTTCTCTCTAGATTCTAGGAACAGAGATGTAGTTACTAGATAGGAAACTATTGCAGGTTTGAATTTGCAAAATTATTAGAGATGCTTTATAAGTTGTTAATGTTGACATTTTATCAAAACTTTTTGTCATTTGCCTCAGACTTTAAAAAGTTGCATAGTGTTATATGTGTAATAGTAATGCTTTAATTTTTAGATCCCTGGTTATCAGTATGTGTCACCTGAAGGCAATTGTGTAGAACATGTTCAGACTACTTCTGCCTTTATTCAGGTAACTTTTATTTCCTTTTAAAAAATAAAGAAAATGCTTTCAAACATTTTTAAGTTGAATAGTGCTTATTTCCTCATCTATTGAACTAGGATAAAAATGAAACAGTCCTATTTATGTATTGTAATATTGAAAGAGTATGTAAGTGGGTTTGAAAATATAAAGTATACAAATGTAAGATGATGACAGCACTGGTATGGTGATTCATTCTTTCAACTTAAAGCATTCAATCATTTGCTAATAGTATTAATAACTAATAGTATTAATAGAATAGAATATATATTACAATTCAATAAACTAATATATTCCAGACATAAAATTTTCAACTTGTATGGATGATACAGTGTTTTTTAATGCATTGAAATCTTTTCTGCTAATTTTACCAGCACATTTTTAAATACTAGTGGGACTGTGATGTATCTAGTGTCTAGGACTTAGTAATATTAAGCTTTATTAGAGAAAATATATTTTAGTTGTATACAAGAAAATAAAATTAGAACACTATTAAAAATAAACCAATTGTGTAAGTAACCTGTTTTTCTCTTTTATTTAACTTGGTTTAGCAACCCTTTGTTGATGAAGATCCTGATAAGGAAAAGAAAATAAAGGAACTTGAGATGCTTCTTATGTCAGCAGAGAATGAAGTTAGAAGAAAGAGACTTCCGTCTGTAAGAAATTAGCTTATTTTATTGTTAGAATGCTTCATAAGTATGTTTTTATAGTTTTTATCAGGTATAAAGCATATTCATTTCTATTTCTGATTTTAATATGGTATAGAAAGAATTTTTCTAATTTGCAACTTTGAGGTTGCCTGATTTTGATATGCATTTTTCTGAGTGTATTTTACAGTGTTCTGTATTAGGATATATTTTTAAAAGATATTCTGAGTCATAAATTTCAAGCAGACTTAGGGTAAAATCTTCTATCTATATTTGTGACATGTATGTATAATTTAGATTAGGCTTTGGTTTAATATTTATTTATTTATTTATTTGGTATCAGGGATTGAACCTAGGGACGCTTAACCACAGAGCCATGTTCCCAACCCTTTTTATTTTATTTAGAGGCAAGGCCTTGCTAAATTGCTGAGGCTGGCTTTGAATTCATGATCCTCCTGCCTCAGGCTCCTGAGCTGTTGGGATTACAGGAATGTGCCACTGCGCTTGGTCTGAGTTAATTTTAGATATTCCATATAATTATGGTTTCAATAGAAAAAATAGAGCTTGGACATTACTTTAATTCTTTTTGAAAAAATTTTCTTACTATTTAGAATATGAATTCAGCAAATTAGAAAATGTAATAATAAAAATATGCATAAAGGGAACATAAAAAATTATGCTCTCAAAAACTTTCAAAAGAAGAAATTTTGTATTAATGTTGATTTGATTACTAGGTATGAAAACTGTTGTCTGAGATATGGTTAATGAGAATAACTAATAGTATTAAACTGGGATAAATAGTGACCATTCTAGTAGAATTAATCAGGCCATGCTAGATGGATTAAGAGAAAAAAAACTAAATTTATACTTCATTAATAATTTTTAAAGTTTAAAGTAATATCTTGAGTCTTTTTGTGTTTAGAAAAGGATTTTATTGACGGAGGGATGAATGAATTGAAAATGACTAGGAATAACCTGAGATCTTGAAATAGTATTATGAGGAAATTGGTAATGTTTTTATATTATTTAAGTGGTTATTTAAAAGAATATTTATTAATTGTACTAGGTGAGATATATACTGTAGGAAAAGGAGTTTTTGTTTTGAAACTGCAAAAACTGTAGGCAAATAGGAAGACATGAAGTGTACTTAGTGTTGATATTTTTTTTCTTTTTTTTTTTTAAGTTACAAATAACAAAGAGTTAACATTTGTAATGATTATATCATGTTAAAATTTTTTTTTTGGCGGGTGCAGGGTACTGGGGATTGAACTCAGGGACACTCAACCACTGAGCCACATCCCCAGCTCTGTCTTTTTGTATTTTATTTAGTGACAGGGTTTCACTGAGTTGCTTAGCGCCTCACCATTGCTGAGGCTGGCTTTGAACTTGTGAAAGCAACTTCCTTCTGTAAGAAATTAGCTTATTTTATTGTTAGAATGCTTTATAAGTATGTTTTTGTAGTTTTTATCAGGTATAAAGCATATTCACTTCTACTTCTGATTTTAATATGATATTAAATATTTTGATATCCTGTCTCAGCCTCCTGAGCAGCTGGGATTACAGGTGTGTGCCACCTCATTGGGCTGTTAAAACCATTTTTAATGGTAATGGTAGTCTTATTTTAACCAGGAAAATGTAACTAACTAATTAGAAACCAGTAATAATTAGCATCACAATTACATTTTGCATTAAAAAAGGGAGAAAGTTACTAATTTCTTTTAAAACTTGCTATCTAAAATACACTCTCATAAAGATCTGGTTGAATAAGGAAGAATCTTTTGAATTCCAGAGAGGAAGTTGCTGCTGCCAATAGAACAGGCTGCATACACACATTTATTTTAAACAATTATGTGATAACAATGATCATTTAACTGAGGATCTATTATGTTCCACTCTTGTATCTGTTTTTGTTGTGTATTCTTGGTAATCCTCATTAATTTTGTTAAGTAGCTGAAATGTTTTTGGAGAGTCACATTTAGATTTGTATGATTACAACTCTGTTTGTGGTTTTTTCCTCTTGGCCTAGTGACTTCTCTCTTTATCTTTTGAATCTTTTTCCCACCTGAAAAATCAGTTGAAAGGCCTATCATTTGGAAGCTATCTCCTGAAAGTTATTGTTAATTGAGAAGGTAGCTATGCTAATGAACTAAGGTTGTTTTATATTTAGGAATCTTTAAAATAGATGGAACTTGTTTTGTAACAATGTTTTTTCACCTTATTTAGCTTGAAACTTAATATTTTGCTACTGTGAATCTTTTTTTTTTTTTTTTGGTCCTGGGGATTGAACCTTCTTGAAATATTTTTTTTAGAGACAGCTTCTTGCTAAGTTGCTTAGGACCTCAGCTTCCTGGCCGCTGGGATTATAGGTGCACCACCATGCCTGGCTTGCTACTGTGAATCTTTAGCACAGTTTAGCAAATTTTATGTGTAATAGTAATAGGAACCATTTTTTAACCTTCCAAAAATACATTTAATTTCCCATCCCAGTGTAAAGAATAACATAAAATCTTTATTATTTATTAATGATATCCAGTTACAAAACATTAAATGATATAAGTAGATCTACTGCTACGACAATTTAAGAGGACACCAGCTTAATAAAGTGCTTTCCCACTCTTTATATTTTAAAAGAATTGTATACTTAAATATACAAATATATAAATATTAGATATACATAAATATATCTAATATACAAAGAAACCAGTAATAATTAGAATCACAATTACATTGATGTCCTTATATTCACTTACTTTTAACTTTTAAAGTAAAATTATAATCCATAGAGTAGGGTAACATCACAAGTCTGCATAGGGTATCAACACTGACAAAAATATCAAAGAGTGGCTTTAAATCTCTTATAAGTTAGGAAACAGTATTAATGATCAGAAATGGACTTATCTGATTATTAATGCATCTCATTTGTATAATAATAAAATATTTATGAACTCAAGGCAAACAGATATAAACCAGGTTTTTAAAAAATATTTTTTAAAAATATTTTTTAGCTGTTGATTTACCTTTATTTTTTATTTATTTGTATGTGGTGCTGAGGATTGAACCCAGCACCTCATACATACTAGGCAAGTGCTCTGCCACTGAGCCACAACCCCAGCCCCCAGGTTTTTTTTTTTTAATTGGTTCTTTTTGGTTATACATGATAATAGAATTCATTTTGACATTACTTATACAAGCATGAGATATAATTTGTTCTAATTCAGACCCTAGTACTTCCCCTTTTCCTTCCTTCCTCCCATTCTCTGAGGCATTACTTATTGAGTGCCAAGGAAATTTTTACTTTTAATTAAAATTTATAATCCATAGTGTAGGGTAATTAATGACAAGTCTGCATAGGTTAGCAGCACTGACAAAAAAAAATCAAAAGATATCTTTAAATTTCTTATGAGTTGGAATGGGCAGTGTGCTTTCTACAATATGACAGCCACTAGCCTCAGTTTACTACCCGTATTTTAGTTGCTACTGGTTTCCATATTGAGCAGCTGCAGATGTAGAACATTTTCATCATCTCAGAAAGTTGTGTTGGACATTCCTATATACTTTGCATATTATTTCTCATTCATAAGTCTTCAGAGTCTCTTCTATTTTTTTAAATATTTTTAGTTGTAGATGGACATAATACCTTTATTTTGTTTATTTAGTTTTCTTATATGGTGCTGAGGATCAAACCCAATGCCTCATGCATGATAGGCAAGTGCTCTACCACTGAGTCACAACTGCAGCCCTCTTCTAATTTTTTATTATAAAACAATATTATAAAACAATTTGAAGCTAGGCTTACAAAATGAATACATTTTCTAGGGTACATCTCTAAAGAAATAAAGAAAAATGAGTCCCTAATGTCAAAGGGTATATTTTGCTGTGGGAACATAGACAAGATATCATATTGATATGATAAAATAAATTGTGAAATGTTATGGGAACACATTGGAGAGGGTTCCTGGAAGAAGTCCTATTTGAGCTTATTCTTGAAAGATGGAATAATTATATATTAGCAAGACCAATGAATTAGGACATTATGGAGCAGATAAAAGTATGTAATCATAGGAGGACTTCCCAATATTAGAATTGTATCTTCAATGAAGAATAGAAGTTTCCCTGGTCAGTGGGTTAGGGAACATTCTAAATAAAGTGAGCAGAAGTCTGTGTAAAGGCACTCCAGGGCAAAAGAACATTACTCTTTAGGGAGTTGAAAGTACTACAGCTGAGTTCCCTGGGAAGAGGACTTGTAAGAGAAGTATTGGGAAATGATTTAGAAAGGAAGAGAAAGATCAGATTTTTTTTTATTATTGGTTGTTCACAACATTACAAAGCTTTGACATATCATATTTCATACATAAGAATCAAGTGGGTTATGAACTCCCATTTGTACCCCAAATACAGATTGCAGAATCACATCGGTTACACATCCACGTTTTTACATACTGCCATATTAGTGACTGTTGTATTCTGCTACCTTTCCTATCCTCTACTATCCCCCCTCCCCTCCCCTCCCCTCTTCTCTCTCTACCCCATCTACTGTAATTCATTTCCCTCCATGTTTTTTATCCCATTCCCCTCACAACCTCTTATATGTAATTTTGTATAACAATGAGGGTCTCCCTCCATTTCCATGCATTTCCCTTTTTTCTCCCTTTCCCTCCCACCTCATGTCTCTGTTTAATGTTAATCTTTTCTTCCTGCTCTTCCTCCCTGCTCTGTTCTTAGTTGTTCTCATTATATCAAAGAAGACATTTGGTATTTGTTTTTTAGGGATTGGCTAGCTTCACTAAGCATAATCTGCTCTAGTGGATCAGATTTTAGGGGTCTAGAATTTATGTGATAATATAAATACATGTTTTATCTCACCATGATTTTATGACTAAAAAAATTTTAAAAAATAAATATAGTGAAGGTATAGGATTTAGTGAAAATAAATCTTATACCAATTTTGAATAAAGAACATATTTGCTACTGTATATTTAGCTAATATGATATGAAGTATATTGTTCTAGAAAAAACTTTTATTTAAAATATGAATAATAAATAATATTCAAATTTCTTTTGTATTTTTAGCAACCTGGAAGCTTTTCTAGCTGGTCTGGTAGTTTCCTCATGGATGATAGCATGTCTAATACTCTAAATAGCCTTGAGGAACATGCTACTGAGTTTTATGGTATGGATGAAAATCAAACTGCATCTGCTCAGCAGAATTCTCCCACGAAGTTCCTAGCTGTAGAGGCAAATGCTGTGCTATCTTCTCTACAGACCATCCCTGAATTTGCAGAAACTTTGGAACTTATTGAATCCGTAAGTTTAAAATTGTGAAATTATCAAAAATTCAATTTTAGATACATGGTTCATGTTCAGAAATTCAGTTAATGGTCAGTGACCAGTTTTATATTAGGCATTAGCATTACTTTATATGTGCCATACTTAATTTTGTTCTATTTTGCAGTATCTTTTGGCAAAATAAATAAGTAAATATTAAGTATGTGTCTTGTAAATATTCTTTATAATTAAATAGAATTCATTTTTATTAAACAAGTTGTACAAGTACATTAGAGAAAGTTAGAAGCTAGAGAAAACTTTAAAGAAGAAAATTAAAATACCCCATATAACTCAAAATTAATCTGATGTACTCCATCAATCTGTTTTGTATATATAGAAAAAATATATATGTATGTTTTTAAAATTTTTTTTAATTGTAGTTGGACACAATACTTTTATTTCACTTATTTATTTTTATGTGGTGCTGAGGATTGAACCCAGGGCCTTGCACGTGCTAGGTGAGCGCTCTACCACTGAGCCACAATCCCAGCCCCTATATGTATGTTTTTAAACCAAAGTACACATATATTTCCATGTTATGTTTCTGTTTCTTTTGTCTTCTATTTATATCATGGGCATGTTTTTATTTTCTAAACTGTTTTTTAAACTTAAATTTTAGTAGGCTTTATAGTATGATGAATATAAGAAATGTATTTACCTAGTATGCTATTATTATTGAACATTTGGGGGGGAATTCTAGATTTTCAATATTACTAATAATAAAAAATTTATATAAAGCTTTGTGCAAAATCATGTCTATGTTTTTAGGTTAAATTGAATTTTTGGATCAAAGTATATATCAAAGTATCAAAGTATACAAAGATCACCATTTTTAAGATATTTCATACATATTACCAAATGATTGTTCAGATTTTAATTTTGTTTTCCTGGGAAGTAGAATATGAAATTTTATGATAAATTATACTTTTTGATAATAATTTGAAATAATTTGTTCTTTTTATATAAAATACTTTAAACAGTAAATTTCAGCTACTGAATGAGATAAAATAATATTTTGGAATGCTTCAAATTGGTATGATAAGAAAACCATAAAATGAGTTGTACAAGTGCATTAGAGAAAGTTAGAAGCTAGAGAAAACTGTAAAGAGGAAAATTAAAATCCCCCATATAACTCAAAATTAATCTGATGTACTCCATCAATCTGTTTTGTATATATAGAAAAAAAAATATATATATATATATATTTATGTATTTTTTTAAACCAAAGTACACATATATTTCCATGTTATATTTTGGTTCCATGTTATATTTCTGTTCTTGTTTGATGGTCTTGCTTAAAAAAGATGTCTGAGTAAAGACTGTTTCTACTGATAAAAATGGTTAAGTAACTCAGTGGAAATACCATCCTGTGTCCAAGATCAGATTTAAATTAGGTTACAACATTAACTTTAGTTAAGAATTTAATTTATTGCAGGATCCTGTAGCATGGAGTGATGTTACCAGTTTTGATCTTTCTGATGCTGCTGCTTCTCCTGTCAAGTCTACCCCAGTTAAACTAATGCGAATTCAACACAATGAAGGAGCCATGGAATGTCAATTTAATGTCAGTCTTGTACTTGAAGGGAAAAAAAACAGTTGTAATGGTGGAGACAATGAGGCTGTGCCTTTAACATCCCCAAATGTGGCAAAATTTAGCACTCCACCAACTATACTCAGAAAGAAGAGAAGAATGCGAATAGGTCAGTCCCCAAACAGTGAACTTGGTGATGGCACATTCAACGATGGCGGTAATACAGCACTAAAGCACACACCAGTGAAAACACTACCATTTTCTCCTTCACAGGTAGTAATGTTTTTATTTATGTTTCCAAGTGTTGATGAGCTAGATTAAAGTAGATCTTTAGTATCATTATTAATAATCAGTTGCTTTTTATAAAAACCTTTATTTATTTTTATGTGGTGCTGAGGATTGAACCCAGCGCCTTGATATGCTAGGCAAGCACTGTACTGCTGATCCACAACCCCAGCCCCTAATTAGTTGCTTTGATAACACATAAAAACAGATGTGTTTGATTGTGTACATGAGAGTGCTAAACTCAGATCAGAAAGTGTCTCACAAAGTATAGTAGCTACATTATAGCACCCTACAACTATTAAAGATAAAAGGGATGTTTTCATTATTTTGGGGGGGGGTACTGGGGATTGAACTCAAGGGCCCTCAACCATTGAGCCACATCCCAGCTCTGTTTTGTATTTTATTTAGAGACAGGGTCTCACAGAGTTGCTTTGTACCTCACTTTTGCTGAGGCTGGCTTTGAACCCCTACCTCAGCCTCCTGAGCTGCTAGGATTACAGGTGTGTGCCACTGTGCCTGGCGACATTTTCTTTATTATGTAGTTCCACATCTGTCTAGGACTCATCAGCCTGGAAACAGAACCAGCCAGAAAGGTAAAATGATTTGCCCAAAGTTATCTAATACAGGCTAAGACTGAGATCCAGTCTGACTCGTTGATCCTTGATTATTTAACAGATATATCCAACAAAAAATAAAGAGATCTCATCTATGTAGAGTAACTTAGGTTTGAGTTTACCTGTTAAGTTTTCCTTCTTAACATTCTTTAGAAGAAAGACAACTGATTACTATAAGGATCTCATGTTAGGAGGTTTTCTAGGATCTCCAGAACTACCTGTTTTCTCCTTTAATGTCCCTGAACAGCAGATGTTTACATCAGGATAAATTCATATTGAATACTTGCTATTTTCTAAGCTGTGTGCCATCACCTTTGTTATAGCATCTCAGTTAATCTTTCAAAAAAAAACTTAGGAGTTGGATAGAATGAAATTTTGAAGTTGAGCCACATGTCCTAGTAAGAGATGGAGCTTTTGCTTGTTGAAAGTGTTTTGACAGAGATTAAAAAGTTATGTAAGGGAGCCAGGTGTGGTGGTGCATGCCTGTAATCCCAACTACTTGAGATGTCAAAGCAGGAGGATCTTAAGTTCAAGGCCAGCCTGGGCAATTTAGACCATGTCTCAAGACAAAA